AGTTAAGGTGAAACTGGTGGGGAAATGGCTGCCAAAGAATAGTTAATGCTTCCTTAGCTTGAAAATCCGTGGAAACTGAAAATTTGTGTGCCTTTAATCAACCTTTTTTTCCCAGTAAAATCCCCACATAAATGTGTTCTTTAGTGGGCATGAAAGGTATTGAGCCAAAAAACAAAAATTCGATAAAAATCAGAAATCCACAAACCCGCGGAAAAATGTCAGTTTCTTGACTTTGATCATTTTGACGAGCGCCTGATTTCACCACGCTGCCTCACTTTAATGTCAACGCCTGGCGGAGTGGAGATACAGCATCCCAGAAGACAGGAGAGTGGAAATAAGTGTATGTATGGGTTTAACGCCCCTTTCAATACTATTAGGTTATTCTTGAGACTTCACGTTGACCTTCACCCATTACGTAGACAGGATGTCCGTCGGGGTGCTTTTGAAGATTTGGCCTCCAGCTTCCTCCACTACTTCCTGTCTTCAGCTTTAATGAGCGTGTCTTTGAGTTCCAGACCTGTCCATCCCTTGATGTTGTCCTTCCAACTTTTCTTCGGTCTGCCTCTGCTCCTTTCCCCATAGACGCTGCTTTGCAGGATCATCTTGGCAAGGCCGGGTGAACGGGTGATGTGTCCATACCATTGCAGTTTGCATTTTCTGACCAGAGTGAGAAGGTCAGCATACGGTCCAAATTCGTTTTTGATCCGTTGTTTGACTTCATCATTAGTGGTGTGATCTTTGTATGAGATACCAAAGATTTTTCGGAAGCATCTCATCTCCACAGCTTGAGATGCTTGATATGGTTCGATCTTGCATAAGGCAGGCCAGTCTACCACTGTTTGTCAAATGTACGAGGGGCATACCAAAAGGTTTTTTTCACCTGACCATGAAAGAATAAAGGTAAAAAGCTGAAATTTGGTGTGAAAGCCAACAATCATCTTCCTAAAATACTTGTAAATTTGGGGGAATTTCAGATCTCTTGTTATACCGCTAGCGCACTGTAAGTGAATGGGGGTATGTTGTTCACCAGTTTCAACATAAAAATTGAGAAAATTGAGCGCAGGGCTGTAATGAAGTTTTTGTTCTTGCAAGGCAAGCAACTACTGGATATTTTTATGGAGATGCATGCCGTATATGGAACTGATTGCCCATCCTATGCTGTGATAAAATATTGGCGTACAAAAAGTGATGATGAGGTCAAAAAAGCGGTAGAGTGCTGGCTTTCTGACATTGAGAGGGTCCTCTATTCTCAAGGTCTATTCAAGGTCATACACAGATGGCAAACATGTATAACTCTGGGAGGCGACTACATAAAGAAATACTAAGCTTTGTACCAAATTTCAGCTTTCTACCTTTATTTCTTCATGGTCAGGTAAAATAAAAACTTTTGGTATGCCCCTCGTATGTCAACGCCGGACGGAGTGAGGATACAGCATCCCAGAAAACAGGAGAGTGGAAGTAGGTCTAGGTGTAATGTGAGGCAGCGTGGTGGAATCAGGCTCTCGTCAAAATAATGAAAGTGAAGAAACTTGCATTTTTCTGCAGGTTTGTGAACTTTTATCAAATTTTTGTTTTTTGGCTCGACACCTTTCATGCCAATTAAAAAACTAATTTCTGTGTGGCTTTTTCTGAAAAACGTTGATTAAAAGTACAAAAAATGTAAATTTTCAGCTACCATGGACTCTTAAGCTAAGGAAATAACGAATCTTTGGTGGCCATTTTCTCACTAATTTTGTCTCTGAAGCACTCGGTGACCCCCACCTCCTTCATTTGCAAATGTCTCGACTTGCATTCAAGATAAATGGATATTTTTTATCATTCAAATAAAGACAAGTGAACAAGCTTTAAGATGACACCAATAACTCTACATGCCCCAAAATTGACGAGAACCTGATTCCACCGCGCTGCCTCACGGATGTGTTTAACGCCACTTTCAACACTATTAGGTTATTCAAGAGACGAGGCCTCCGAATTTAACATCCGTCTCCAATAGAACCGAGCCTAGTGGGTTGATTGGGAGCCTTGAAAACACTACAAAACGAATTAAATGACGAGTCTGGGATTCGTACCTAGGCCATTCACTCCGTAGTCCAGCATTATACCAACTCAGCCGACGGCCATGCAGAATCCAGGGACAGAATATGTGAGTCAGCGTGGTGGAATCAGGCTCTCGTCAAAATAATCAAAGTGAAGAAACTTTCATTTTTCTGCAGGTTTGTGAATTTTTATCAAATTTTTGTTTTTTGGCTCAACACCTTTCATGCCAATTAAAAAACTAATTTCTGTGTGGCTTTTTCTGAAAAACGTTGATTAAAGGCACAAAAAATGTAAATTTTCAGCTACCATGGACTCTTAAGCTAAGGAAATAACGAATCTTTGGAGGTCAATTTCTCACTAATTTTGTCTCTAAAACACTAGGTGACCCCCACCTACTTCTTTTGCAAATATCTCGACTTGTATTCAAGATAAATGGATATTTTTTTCATTCAAATAAAGACAAGTGAACAAGCTTTAAGATGACACCAATAACTCTACATGCCCCAAAATTGACGAGAGCTTGATTCCACCACGCTGCCTCACGTATGTGTTTAACGCCGCTTTCAACACTATTAGGTTATTCTAGAGACGAGACCTCCGAATTTAACATCCGTCTCCAATAGAACCGAGCCTAGTGGGTTGATAGGGAACCTTGAAAACACAAAAAAAAAACCGAATTAAACGACGAGTTTGGGATTCGTACCTAGGCCATCCACTCCTTAGTCCAGCATTATACCAACTCAGCTGACGGCCATGCAGAACCCAGGGACAGAATATGATACTTGTTTTGGTAAGTATTTTACGGCGCTCGCAACTGCATAAGGTCATTTTATGAGCGCGCGAGACACATTAAACATTTTCAGTTGGTAAAAATTTTGAATTTTGCCCGAGTGGCGGCCGAAGCCTACTCTTATCGATTTTTGGACCGTCGAGGGATCTTTAACGTGAGCAACTTGCACTCGGGACCTCCGAGATTTTTCGCCCTTGACCGAGAAGGCTATGTGTAGCTCTTTCCT